TATTCTTGGTACTTGGGGGGAGAACAGGGGGGGGGCTTCTGGAGTTCTAGCCCCGATGGTGGACCTCCTGATGGCCCCTGGGTTTTGGCCACTGTGTGGCACAGAGTGCTGGACTGGATGGGCCACTGGCCTGATCCTGCATGGCTTCCCTTATGTCTTTAACCCTGGGCCGTAGATCTGCCACAGGATCCTGCTAGATCCTTCCCCTCCTAAACCGGTAATACACCCTGTCTCATTTGAAAGCTCTCCCATTCTGACACATTTTTTAAAAAATTGCCCTGCAGCAAAAATATCCTTGTGGATATGCCAGAGACTATAATGTTCAAGCATACACTGTGTTCCCACGACAGCCCATGTCCTTTCCCCCCCCTCCCCCCCCCCCCCAACATCATGAGCAGCCTTCTCTGGCAGTGAAGACAAGCAAACCCTTGCCTGAGCTCAAAAGACTGCTGCCCAGGCAACAAATTCAAACGAGAGCATTGAACAATAAATGTATAATGAACATATCCATCTTGACTTCAGCACTGATCCTACGGCTGAGGAAGTCATCGCCAATCAAGTGAGCTGTGCAGCACAGTCCCAAGAGTGGTTAGTCTCACTGAATTCAGTGGCACTCACTTTCTAGCAAAATGTGAAAAGAAGGTGCTGGATTGGAGGAGGAGGAGGAGGAGATTGGATTTATACCCCGCCCTTCTCAGAGCAGCTCTCCCCACAACAGACACCCTGTGAGGTCGGTGGGGCTGAGAGAGCTCTTTCGAGAACTGCCCATTCAAGGACAGCTCTGACAGAACCAGGGCTATTTTGGGGCAGGAACGCACAGGAACGGAGTTCCGGCTGGCTCCCAAATTGGCCACGCCCAGCAGGAACTCATTAGCGTAAGAGGCCACACCCAATAGCAGAAACTCATTAGGGTTGGCTACGTTGGGGTGTGTTGCCTAACATGCAAAGGAGTTCCTGCTACAAAAAAGGCCCTGGGTTTTGTCAACAAACAAGGTAAACAGAATAAGAAGCAAAAGGTGGGTGTGGCTGGATAACCACACTTCTGGTAACGTGGGGGTGCGGCCTAATATGCAATGAGCTATGCTCTCATGGGTGTGGCTGGATATGCTAATGAGTTTCTGTTGTTGGGTGTGGCCTATTATGCTAATGAGCTCCTGCTGGGCTTTTTCTACAAAAAATGCCCTGGACAGAACTATGGCTTACCCAAGGTCATCCAGCAGCTGCGCGTGGAGGCGTGGGGAATCAACCCCGGTTCTCCCAGGTTAGGGTCCGCACACTTAACCACAACACCAAACTGGCTCTCGGTCGAAGGAGGGAGGTCCATTAGAAATGTTCAGGTCAAACGACGCAAGCTTTCTTTTAGCAAGAGCAACAGGCGGACGGAAGCAGTGAGGCCCAGGCAGGGACAGTCGTAACGATTCTGGGCCGACGTGCAGGAGGGGGACCCATAATCCCTGCCACATGGCCCGCCTTCCCTCTGCCGGAGCCACCCCAGGCGTGACAACTGGGCTTCCAGCTGCTGCCAAAGGGGGCAGGGGTGAGCATGCACAGCAGCCACTGAGCCGGCCAGCTGCTGCCTGGACCCTGAAGTGGGCAGGTGTGCTCACAGCCACTGACAGCTCTTCCTCTTCTTTCCCCCTCCACCCAGGGAGAGGCAGGGCTGTGGGTGGTTGGGGGGCCCGGCCCAGCCTGAGGCCCAGGGCAGCTACCCCAGATGTCCTGTGGCTGACAACCCCTGGGTTCAGGTAGCACATGGATATGAACCTAGCACCAGTCAACATTTCTAGAGGAATAGCGTCCCTCCCAATGTGAGCGGAGTTTAAAAGTTCTCATGTGAACCTGCCAAGTTCCCCCGGCTGCCAGTTGGAGGGGGGGCAGGGTTGCCAGATCCAGGTTGGGAAACTCCTGGAGATTTGGGGATGGAGCCTGGGGAGGACGGGGACCTCAGTGGGGCACAATGCCACAGAGTCCGCCCTCCAGAGCATCCATTTCCCCCCCAGGGGAACGGGACTCTGTAGTCAGGAGATGACCTGTGATTCCAGGGAATCTCCAGGTCCCACCTGGAGGCTGGCATCCCTGCCCGATGATGAGGAATAAAGTGAAACTAGTTCACAGGAAGGTGTTCAGAGCACAACGGACTAGATCACCATTCTTAAAGAAGCTGCAGAAACCTTGCAAGTCCAACCAGCTGACAAGCAAAAGTATTAATATGAAGCCACTCGCAATCCTTGCAGACTCTTCAGGAAGGAGATGGATCAGATTTAGGCAACAGTTTAGGCAAGAGACTTGGGGGGGGGTGGAGACGGGATTTCAGTGAACTTCAGTGAACAGGGACTTCAGTGGGGTACCATGCAATGCTCCCTCTAAGCTCTGGAGTCTTGTGAGCAAAAATTCCATTTCGTGAGCTACTGCCATTAAAGTTGCGAGCGAGCAATTTGGCTACTGCATTAATTAGTTTGCTCTGGAGCCCTCCTCCCTGTGTGAGCCGGAGGCTAGAAAACTATGAGCTAGCTCACACTAACTCAGCTTAGAGGGAACATTGGCTACCATGCCATACAGTCCACCCTCCAAAGCTCCCATTTTCTTCAGGGGAACTGATCTCTGGCATCCCAAGTATCCACACATGTCTGCAAAATATTACATTTGTTATCCAGAACTTTTACAGAGCTCCTCCAACTTTTACTATGAGTATGATTTCTGAATCGCTGAACCTCACAAGCGGGCTCTGGGCGATTTGCAGCTTTAAAACAGATAAAATACAACCAGCGTGAAAAAAATTATTACAGTGCTGAAAAGTACTGAGACTGACGCATCGTCGAGTGATTTTCAGCTCATGCTTTACTTTGTGGTTTCAGAAAAAAAGGAGATACAATGGCTAGCCCGTGGGCCGCTTATATGTCCATTCACAGCCACACCCATGACACATGCCCACGCCCGTGATAGGCTATATACAAGAGTTACAACCTTATAGGTCCCCTGTAGAGTCCCTACTCGGCTTGGCCATTGGTTGCCGGGTGGAACAGAGCCGAGTGGATGTGTCCGATGCCATAGTATTCCACGAATTCTTGGAACTCGGCCAATGTGAAAGCCATTCCATTGTCTGTCACTAGTGAGTCCGGAATGCCGTGTGTACTAAAAATCCTCCACATCGCCCTGATGGCCGAACGGGAGGATGTGGAGGGCACAGGAACCACCTCCAGCCACTTTATGTACGAGTCTACGAGTATAAAAAAGATTTGACCCTGGAAGGGGCCGACGAAGTCTAAGTGGAGTCTCGCCCATGGCTTGTGAGAAGACTCCCAGGGTCTTGTTGAGGCCTTCGGTGGTTCTGGCCGGGACTCCTGACAAGGTTGGCACCTCTTCACCTTGTCCTCTATTTCGCCATCTAGCCCTGGCTACCACACATAGCTTCTAGCCAGGGCCTTCATTCTGACAATCCCGGGGTGGTTTTCATGTAAGGCAGTGATCACCCGCTTGTGGGGCCGGCCTCAGCTTATTTTGCACCCTAGGCAAGGATCCCTTCTGGCGCCCCCCTCCATGCACCCACCAATTTTCAAAAATAGAAGCGGGGGAAACGCTGTCAGCTGCCTGGCCCCTGGTGAGGGAAGGCGGGCAAGGAGGCAGGCGGCACTGGCCCTCTCCAGCCCCAAATGCCCCCCAGGGAGAGGCTCGAAGAGGGGGTGGGGGCTAAGCCCAGCCACCTGCCACACACGGGAGGAGGAGAGGCAGCCTGATCGACTCCCTGCATGGCCCGCGGCTTCTTGCCCGCCAGGCACAGCCGTCTCATAGAGTTACAACCTTATAGGTCCCCTGTAGAGTCCCTACTCGGCTTGGCCATTGGTTGCCGGGTGGAACAGAGCCGAGTGGATGTGTCCGATGCCATAGTATTCCACGAATTCTTGGAACTCGGCCAATGTGAAAGCCATTCCATTGTCTGTCACTAGTGAGTCCGGAATGCCGTGTGTACTAAAAATCCTCCACATCGCCCTGATGGCCGAACGGGAGGATGTGGAGGGCACAGGAACCACCTCCAGCCACTTTATGTACGAGTCTACGAGTATAAAAAAGATTTGACCCTGGAAGGGGCCGACGAAGTCTAAGTGGAGTCTCGCCCATGGCTTGTGAGAAGACTCCCAGGGTCTTGTTGAGGCCTTCGGTGGTTCTGGCCGGGACTCCTGACAAGGTTGGCACCTCTTCACCTTGTCCTCTATTTCGCCATCTAGCCCTGGCTACCACACATAGCTTCTAGCCAGGGCCTTCATTCTGACAATCCCGGGGTGGTTTTCATGTAAGGCAGTGATCACCCGCTTGTGGGGCCGGCCTCAGCTTATTTTGCACCCTAGGCAAGGATCCCTTCTGGCGCCCCCCTCCATGCACCCACCAATTTTCAAAAATAGAAGCGGGGGAAACGCTGTCAGCTGCCTGGCCCCTGGTGAGGGAAGGCGGGCAAGGAGGCAGGCGGCACTGGCCCTCTCCAGCCCCAAATGCCCCCCAGGGAGAGGCTCGAAGAGGGGGTGGGGGCTAAGCCCAGCCACCTGCCACACACGGGAGGAGGAGAGGCAGCCTGATCGACTCCCTGCATGGCCCGCGGCTTCTTGCCCGCCAGGCACAGCCGTCTCATGGTGGGTGTCCCACCCAGGCAAGGGAGGTCCAGGGCCCGGCCAGGCCTTTGCCCCCAAGACTCACCTGACCCCGAGGTCGCCCCCCAAGACCCCCCCATGCCAGCCTGGCCCATTCTTGCGGCACTCCCAGCCTACAGCGTGGGGAGGGGCAACCCTTGAGGGCGCAGAGCCTGCGGGGGGGGGAGGATGCCAAGGGCACCAGGGGAGGAGGGGTGGGGGTGGGGCCTCCCATGGCTGGGGAGCCATGGCCACAGGCTGTAGCCAGGGTAACAGAGGGCCAATCCTGAGGCTGCTGCAGAAGGCTCTCGGTGTGAGAGGCAGGCACGTGCCCGCCCCGCAGCCCACAGCCTGGCCCGGGGCGCCTCCCACACAGCCCCAATGGCGATGATGGCAGCCCGAGATGGCCTAGGAAGGAACACCACCTGCCCGCTCGCCTCGGTGGTGCCCAGCCAGGCCGGCGCTCCCCCACCCACGCTCTGGCTCTCGGCGACGCTCTCCGAAATTCATGTAAGGCAGTGATCACCCGCTTGTGGGGCCGGCCTCAGCTTATTTTGCACCCTAGGCAAGGATCCCTTCTGGCGCCCCCCTCCATGCACCCACCAATTTTCAAAAATAGAAGCGGGGGAAACGCTGTCAGCTGCCTGGCCCCTGGTGAGGGAAGGCGGGCAAGGAGGCAGGCGGCACTGGCCCTCTCCAGCCCCAAATGCCCCCCAGGGAGAGGCTCGAAGAGGGGGTGGGGGCTAAGCCCAGCCACCTGCCACACACGGGAGGAGGAGAGGCAGCCTGATCGACTCCCTGCATGGCCCGCGGCTTCTTGCCCGCCAGGCACAGCCGTCTCATGGTGGGTGTCCCACCCAGGCAAGGGAGGTCCAGGGCCCGGCCAGGCCTTTGCCCCCAAGACTCACCTGACCCCGAGGTCGCCCCCCAAGACCCCCCCATGCCAGCCTGGCCCATTCTTGCGGCACTCCCAGCCTACAGCGTGGGGAGGGGCAACCCTTGAGGGCGCAGAGCCTGCGGGGGGGGGAGGATGCCAAGGGCACCAGGGGAGGAGGGGTGGGGGTGGGGCCTCCCATGGCTGGGGAGCCATGGCCACAGGCTGTAGCCAGGGTAACAGAGGGCCAATCCTGAGGCTGCTGCAGAAGGCTCTCGGTGTGAGAGGCAGGCACGTGCCCGCCCCGCAGCCCACAGCCTGGCCCGGGGCGCCTCCCACACAGCCCCAATGGCGATGATGGCAGCCCGAGATGGCCTAGGAAGGAACACCACCTGCCCGCTCGCCTCGGTGGTGCCCAGCCAGGCCGGCGCTCCCCCACCCACGCTCTGGCTCTCGGCGACGCTCTCCGAAATGTCTAAATCAGGGGTGTCAAACATGCGGCCCAGGGGAACTGGTGGAACTGGCTGTTTTCTGCTTCTTCTTCCAGTTCTGCTGCTGCTGCGTCATCGTAGGCTTGCAGCTTACAGATACACACCTGAACATACATTTTGATGCAATAATTCAGAGCAAGAGGTGTCAGTTATCGGACACTGTTAAATAATCAAAATATTGCTAGAGTGCTAATGTTTTAAGCATGTTTTTAAAACCACTTTGTGTTTGTGTCCTTTATAACGTTTATATTTCCGCTACCTGGCATTACATTTTATGACGCATATGGCCCGGCCCAACAAGGTCTCATTTATGTCAGATCTGGCCTTCATAACAAATGAGTTCAACATCCCTGGTCTAAATATTCAATGTAACAAGTTAAACAGTGATTCATTTTCATTCATACGGAGTATAGAATTTATTGTACTGTCCTGAGAATGCAAGAATCCTTTGTGCATCATTTTAGCGGGTTAAATCCAAATTTACCCCAGAAATGTATTGTATTGAAAGGATATACACCTGCTGTATTAATGTTCTGAATTTAATTTATTGCTAGAAACAATCTAGGGTATTTAGAAGTCGGTCTTTTTGGTCCCAATCCTGTACAAGTTAACTGTACGTAAATCCCATTGAAATCAATGGAATAATGCTGTGATTTTTAACTTTCCCTAGATTTTCCACATTTTCATTTCCCACGCTGGTAAGTTCCTGTTTCTACAGGGTGTGCGTGTGTGTGTGGGGGGGGTTTCCTGTTCTGCACATGTTTTGCGCCCTCTAGTAGTTGATTCAATATCACACGGGTTTATGTCTGGCATATCTCCCTGCAGATTTAAACTGCAGGTTTATATGCCGGACATAAACCCATGCGATATTGAAATGACCGCTGGAAGGAGCAAATACACGAGGAACAGAGCCTCCCCCAAAGAAACAGAAGCTTACCAGTGAGGAAAATGAGAATACAGAAACGCCTTTGGTCTTTTTGTTGAACCAGGTTCCAAATCCTTGGCATCTCCATTTGAAAGGCTTGGTAGCAGGTGTCGGAGAAAGGTTCTACCAAATGATGAAAATAACCCTTTTTTGCAAAGGCCGTTAAGAGAATAAGATTATTTTTCAAGGCATGTATGGCTGAAATGTTCTCTGTTCTCGAAATATCACTTGAATCGAGGAGCCAAAAACGCCTACACGGCTGACAGTTCCCATTGTCAAATATAACCTCTATATTAGTTGCACTTCAAGGCTGATATTGCTGAGTTTATTCATTTAAAAAAGGCTTAGGCCTCTTTCCACCTTTAAAACTTTTATGGGAGCCATTCAAGAAATATAGCTTCCCAGTTCCTTCCCTTTATTATTACACTCCCCTTACCAAAGGTCTTGAGCAAAGTCAGTACAGATACAAGATAAAAATACAAAGCAGTAAACATTCAAATACAGGATGGTGAATTAAAACCCACCACAACTGCTAAGAATTTGGCAACAAAATGTGCTATTTCCCGATTGATGTCTACCAGCAAAAAAGGAGCGCACACAAGATTTGATAGGCAGTTGATATTTATTCAGGGTCGGTGTAATCCAGAGGTCTGTGAGTGGCATCCATCGATCACAGAATAAGATGAGGTGATCCATGAAGCTGGTTGAAGTTCCAGGTGCGATGTCCCCGTGTCTCAGACCTCCAGACTCTGTGGCAAGAGAGACTAGATAGCTAGATAGGCACACTGACCTTTCTTCCTGTCTTTATCCTTCTGCCACTGTCCCCTTTGAAATGTAGATTGTGTTCTCAGGCACAATTTCCCTTCCTCCCGTTCTCTCTCAAATGAAGATGAACTCTCTCACTGCACGCACCAAGAGAGATGGCAAGCTGTGCTCTCTTGGAACCATGAGGCAGATGGGCCTCTTGCCGTCTGCTTCCATCCTTTACCTAGTAAGTCAGTACTCTATTCTGTCCCTACTCTTTCCTATCCAAAGTGTACTTCTCAAGTAAAGGGAGAAGTATTCTCTCCTAAACTTGCAATGTGGTCCTGTGTAGCTTTGTAAGCTGAGTAACCTGGTAGAGTAACACTGCTGCACTTGTAGCTTTATTTAAGCCCTCTGGCTAACTAGTGGTAACTGGACCAACCACACCAGTTAACCCCAACAGGAACATCCCAGCTACTGAACTAGATTTCAGATCCCATGGTCTTTGTAAGATGCGATGTGAGCATAACATTTGCATCTGACACTTAAAGGGCACAATCTAGTCAAGTAAATAGCAATGCTCCCTCTAAGCTATGGAGTCCTGTGAGCAAAAATTCTCCTTTGTAGACGACTGGCCTTAAAGTTGTGCGTAAGTGATTTGGCTACTGCCTAAATTAGTTGTCTCTGGAGCCCTCCTTCCTGAGCTAAGACAAAAATGTGTGAGCCGGAGGCTAAAAAACTGTGCGCTGGCTCACACTAACTCAACTTAGAGGGAACACTGGGGAGTCAGGTTGACAGCCTCCAGTTGGTAGCTGAAGACCTCCTGGGATTACAACTGATCTCCAGGCAACAGAGGCAGGGGTCATTTCCTGCAGGAGCGCACAGGAGCGGAGCTCCAGCAGTAAAGAGCCCAGGGGGCAGGCACATGCAACAAGCCCCGCCCCCTGCTCCCAGCAGCCCTGGGCCACAAGGAGCAAGAAGCAGCCAGGTAAGTTGCAGAGCCCCCTCCCCGATAGCAATCCAAAACAGTCCAGTGGCACCTTTAAGGCCAGGTTTTATTCAGGTACAAGCTCTCCCTCCTCTGCGAGGGCAGATCTGCATGTCCCCCCCCCCCCAATAGCTAGCAATCCAAAACAGTCCAGTGGAGCCTGAGCGGTGGGTGTTGCCTTCTGATACACTTCCGGTGATGTCAGGAGTGTGTGGCATATGCAAACAAGTTATGCTAATGAGTTATGCTAATGAGCTCCTGCACCTCTTTTTCTACGAAATGACCCCTGAATAGTGGTCAGTTCACCTGGAGAAAATGGCTGCCTTAGAAGGCGGACTCTTTGGCACTCTACCTCATTGGTCCCTCCCCTCCCCAAACCCTGTCCACTTGAGGTTCCACCCCCCAAATCTCCAGGTATTTCCCAACCCAGAGCTGGCAACCTTACAAGTGAGACAGTTCAGAGCCTTATTGATTTCCGTAAAAGAATTCAGGGAAATGTTCAACTCTCTCCCTCTGGAATCAGTGGCACTTCAAAGTGTTCATCCTTGCCTGGACTGTGCACTGGAGACAGACACGCAGTTGAACCCAAGTCCCTTTTGTTTCACGATGAGAGAAACGAGTTGCATATGTTTCCCCAATTAGATCAATGCCGCTTCGGGACTGTTGTTCCTAAATTTCAGGCTTTTCTGCGCAGGTCTGTGCCTCCCCCCCCCCACAAAAAAATCAAAACCCAGGAAAGCCAAGAATCTCCTGAGTTTAGCCTTTTAAGAAGTCCTGAAATTATTGAAGCAGGGATACGATGCTGGGAGTTATTGTTATTACCAGGACTCTTTTTGTAGAAAAAGCCCAGCAGGAACTCATTAGCATAATAGGCCACACCCAACAGCAGGAACTCGTTAGCATATTGGGCCACACCCCTGACAGCACAGCTCATTAGCATATTAGGCTGCACCCCCATGTTGCCAGAAGTGTGGTCATCCAGCCACACCCACCTTTTGCTTCTTATTCTGTTTACCTTGTTTGTTGTCAAAACCCAGGGCCTTTTTTTGTAGCAGGGACTCCTTTGCATGTTAGGCCACACACCCCTAATGTAGCCAATCCTAATGAGTTTCTGCTGTTGGGTGTGGCCTATTATGCTAATGATGTTCCTGCTGGGCGTGGCCAACTCGGGAGCCAGCCGGAACTCCGTTCCTGTGCGTTCCTGCCCCCAAATAGCCCTGGTTATTACTGACAATGTCACTGTGATATTTACAAAGCGGCTTTGTTCGATAAAAAAAAAAAAGACACGTCCTGTTTGAGATGCTGATCGTTTCCCCGTTTCTTTAATTTTTTTGGTAGGTAAAACGGGGTTTGCATTAGTGAAGGAGGCAGTGGGCCAGGAGCTGAGCCAGAATCCGCAGAACATGAATGGAAACGTCCCCCTGCCACAGTCGCCGGCCGAGCACAATGAGCCACATACCTCAAGCACGCAGCCGGCGATGACCTCCGCTAATGAGAACGACCTACAACAGACAGGGTCTCCTGACATCACATCCAGCATCTGGAATGATGCTGAGCCTGTGGATGATGCCACAGACAGGCGCTGGGGAGCAGCGGCAGATCCCCAGAGGGAAACGGAGAAGCAGAGAAGGGGGCAAGCCGAAGGACCGGGGAGCGCCACAGGCAGCGGCACCAGTCTGGTCTTGACAAACGGGTTGCATGGTGAACCCGAGCCTGGGGAAGGGAGAGATTTGGACCGCAAGGAGGGAGAAGAGGCAGAGACTCAAAGCAGCCCGAGTACAGGCAGCCCAGCTTCGGAAGAGAGGGCCTCGGCGAGGAAGCGGCTCTTCCGCAAGACGAGCGGCCACGCAGAGCTGCTAGACCCGGAGGACGGAGAAGAACAGCTAAGGTAACAGGGCGGGCAGGGTGGCACTGCTCCCTCTAAGCTGTGGAGTCCTGCGAGCAAAAATTCTACGTTGCGAGCTCCCGGCGTTAAAGTTGTGAGCCAGCGATTTGGCTGCGGCAGAAACCAGTTTGCTCTGGAGCCCCCTCCTTCCTGAGCCGAGACAAACATGGGCGAGCCGGAGGCTAAAACACTGTGAGCTGGCTCACACTTAACTCAGCTTAGAGGGAACGCTGGGCAGCCCTCACGTAGCAGCCGGATTGGCAGGCATTCTTCCCCACGCGTCTGGAAACACCATGGTAGGGGTTGTCACTCTGGTATTCTGACACCACGGAACCCTCCGCTTTCTCCAGCAGGAGGGCGGATGGCCAGGGTACTGGGTGGTCTGGCTCAGATGAAGGGTTGCCAGCTCCCCCCTGGCCACAGGCAGGGGATAGGGGGCAGGGTTGCCAGCTCCAGGTTGGGAAACTCCTGGAGATCTGGGGATGGAGCCTGGGGAAGACGGGGACCTCAGTGGGGCACAATGCCACAGAGCCCACCCTCCAAAGCAGCCCTTTTCTCCAGGGGAACTGACCTCTGTTCTGGAGATGGGCTGTAATTGCGGGGGATCCCCAGGTCCCACCTGGAGGCTGGCATCCTTGCCCAGATGCCTTAGGTGCCTTACCATAGGGGTCCCCAGCGGGGTGCCTGAAAGAACAATGGTGCCCACCGACACCTCTCCTGTGCCCGCCAAGTGTTTTAGAAAGTGGGAGGGGCCAGGTGGAGCTTTTGTCCCACAAGGCTTCTGATTGGCCATCGGAGATTTGATGGGCTGCGCAGATTTTTAAAACTGCTGCTTCCATAGCGGCTGCCACCACAGCAAAAGGATCTTGAGTCTGTGACTGAAGGTGAGCCGTGGTGGCCATTCTGCAGCAGGCTCCGCCTCCCACGACAGCCATTTTATGGCAACCGCATTGTGGCTGGGCCCACCATACTGTGCTGGAATCTCAAGGCGCCTGTAGGCTCAACAAGTTTGGGGATCCCTGCCTTATCAGAGCAGTCTAAGCCAGTCCCAGGACTCCAGGGCGTGAGAAATCTGGTTAAAGAATCTCAACCTAACAGGGATTCACTGTTTTTTATTTCTTGTTCTTCCGTTCTTGGTCTCCCCCGCTTAGACTGCTGAAGAAGCAAGCTGCTCTTCAGGGTCATTTTGAAAATTCACAATGAAGAGTGCTTTGTCTGTTTAGCAAATTGCAAAGAAAAGTCCGCTCTTTGAGCATTTTCATGGCTGTCTGAAGGACCATTTAAAAGTGGGGTCCCTGTGCCATGGCATACAGAGGCGGGGCATTTCCAGGGTTCACACCGCATCTTTGGAACTTTGCAGTTCACTTGGAACCTGCCTTACTTTCCTTCAGGTGCTAGCTGGATGCATTTCTCTTTAGCCAAGCTTTCAACAGAGCAGTTTTCATCTTTTAAAGGAATTTTAAGGTCAGCGCCGAACCTGAGAATCCCACCCCCATTTTAGACTGTTCAGTTCTTTTATGCTGCTTTTGTGTCCTGGCATATTTTTTATCGGCTTGCCATTTTTATTGACTTTTTAATTGGGCTTTTTTATTGTTTTATTGGCTACTTTTGCTTTATTGGTTTACTAGAAATAAAACCCGTTGTGGAAATAAATACAATGGGAGCTAGAAAGAGGCTCTGGGAGAGTGCTCTGGCTTTGGGCAAACAGTGTCAGTCTGCTTTTAAAACATGAATCTGGGACCTGCACACCACCAGAATACAGCAGGTTCCATATGCAACTGACATTCCAACTGCCTTGCGGGGGGGGGGGAGTTTGAGGTGTGGAATGGAGTGAAGTCCAATCAGCTTCCATATGCAAAAGACCAGGTTGTCGCAGCAGTTGTGGTGTGGGCGGGACCCGGGCTTTGCCTTCTGATTGGTGGCGATATATGCTGAGGAGCAGTGCCATCAGCCATACACTAAGGGAGTGCATTTTAGAATTAGAACTTTGGCACCCACTATTCAATTATATATAAGGAGAGATTGGTTTGCTCTGTGTTTTATTGTTTTAGCTGTCAGGTGCCTCGAGCGGGTTCATTCTCTAGACAAATAGATCCCTAGATTTCTGTAAACACACCAACAGATTCCAGGACCAGGTATATTCCGCAGAAAAAGCTTTACTGCTTTCTGTACTTTGCATCTCCAGTAGCCCTTCCCAGTTCCCACATTATGCCATAATCCGAAGGAA